TGACAATTGTTTAGTGTGCATTCCCAACATCATAAAGAGTACAACCCTAACATGAGTTTACTTTAGAAAACTTCTTTAAGTATAAATGGTTTAATATAATCAGAATGTGGTGGCAGTATTACAGTAATTTTTAAAATCAAAGCAGAGAAAACAAACTTTGCTAAAATTTGTTTGTTCTTAGAAGTAACTCCATGTGAAATATTTTGAACACTCACTAATAATATGTAAAAGGAAAAGGAAAGTGCTTTAAGATTCTAAAATTAAATATTTAAGTTTACCAATTAATCCCAGGCCTAAGGTTTTTAGTAATCTTAACATTAATATTATGTGGAAATGTATTGAGAAGGTTCATCTGTTGGTTCAAGTCAATTATAAAGTTTTCCCACTCAAAATATAGGACGTTTCTTTGTGGATTACAATAATGCTGAGTCCAGAATACAGCTGGATATAAGGGAAAACAGTTTGTTTTGCTAGGGCGGTGACAGCAGGTTTTTACAAAGTGCTCCGAATCTTTTCATCAAGCACATACATCATATTATTTAATCTACCATCAATACCAGGTATGTGGTTTCACAGCTTCTTTTGGAATTGTCATGATGTAAAATGTTACTACTTAAATCACTTAAGAAATTTCCTCCCAAATGTTTTCTCCAAGTACAATTGTTTGTTTGTTTTGCTAGGAAAAATGAAGTAAAAAATAAACACAGGAAACAACCATAAGAATGTAGAAAGAGAAGTTCTTAAGAAATAAACAATATTACCACTTGGTATACTGAAGGCTAGGGAGCCAGGGTAGAGTTTTTTATTTGTAATGAGGCTCGAATATAAAGTAATACAACATATTTGTTTGGACTCATGATATTAAAGAGCTGAAAACCATTAAGTAAAGTTTGCTAACAAATCTAGTTATGGTGAGCCTACCTTTTCTCAAGGAAAGTTTTCCCATTCACATAGTTCTTTCCCATTGCTGTGGCTTTCCAGGCAAAGTATGCTCCCTAATCAAGAAGGAAATAGGAAAAATTGTATTTTAAACCACTAATCTAATTATACTGCCCTGCCATTTATTTTTTAGCTCTATAATCTGTCTCTAACTTCTAAGTCACAAAATAAGGTTATTTTTTAAAAAGATTAGAGGAATAAATAACAAAAAGGCATGAAGAAACTTTTGGAAGTATGGAGAAGTTCAGTATCTTGATTGTGGTGATGGTTTTCTTGGGTATTTACATACATCAAAACTCATCAAATTGTACACTTTAAATATGTGCAATTTATTGTACACGATTTATGTAAAAATACCAGTTAAAGGAAACTGAGGTTAATTTAAAGCAAATAATTAAGAGTAACATTTTAGGGCAGGCCGAGTGGCGTGTTGGTTAGGAGTTGGCTTGGGACGCCAGCTCTGAGCAGCAGGGCCCCGGTTCGGATCCCACATGATAGCCAGTGACGCTGCGCCCTTTACAGCTAAGATGGTGAACAACAGCTCGACCTGGAGCTGGGCTGCCATGAGTCGCTGGCAACGGCGTAGGATGCAGTGGGGCTGGCTGGCAGCTGGCGTGAGCTTTCATGAGCTGCCTGTGAGAGGCTGTCCAATGGCCGATGAGCGACTGCCTCACCCGGGGAAGAGCGCAATGATAATACCAACATGGGCGAGTAAAGCCATGATCTCCACAACTAAACTGAAGAACAAAAGGACAGCAACTTGTCTGTTCCCCTTCCCCAATTCCCCAACAAAATCTTTAATAAAAAGAGTAACATTTTAGTTACTAGGATTGAAGAACTCTAAAAAACTATATGTTATCTAAATAATGGTGCTCAATTCTTCATCATTGGTGAATAAATTAAAAAGTGATCACTATGCATTAAAAATATTAAAAGGTTTTGCTATTTTGTAATCTAATGTTAAATGAAAGCAGCAGTTATAAGTCAAGACCTCCTCTGAAAATACACATACTCATGCATGCACGCACACAAAAACAAACATTTTAAAAGAAACAACTGTCTTTTAGATATAATGGAGTAAAAAAGGGCAAAAGATGAAATCTGGATTCTAGTGATGGTGACTTTTACTACCCACTGGAAAGGAAGGGAAGAGAGTTAGTTGGTCATCTAGCTTCAGAAACTCAGAGATGTGGTCAATTTCCCAAAATATTTAATTTTTCCAATTTGAGTAACAAACTAAAATATTTTTTTTTGTCTGTTCAGATTACAGGGTTAGCTCATAAGATCTGAACTGAGTGAACCTGCAATTATCTAATAACCCATAAAATACAAAAGATCAGTTCCTCATCATGATTTTCTTCTTCNTAATCGTAGCGTACTTACACAGCCATAACTTTTTAAACACTGATTTAATTAAATTGAGGCAGAGAGAGGCTGTGAGGGTGGCATTGAGTTCAAAATTCTCATCTTGCAGACTGGTCTATATAGTGGCTAAATTCAGGATCCTGGAAATACCCATATAAGCCCACTATTTTGAAGTGTGGAGAGTACCTATTGGAATACCTATAAAAATTAAAAGTGATGAAACTCAGGGACATGGCCTTTGATGAAGTGCTAAAGTTAGCTGACTTTTAAAATATGTTCATGCTTAGGAAGCTATCATGTACCTGGCGGTAGGTACTGCTCCTTCTTTAATAAGGTCCTTGAGAGTTAAGAATCTGAATTGAAGCAACCGTGTAAGGCTATAACATTAATACAGGAACAGTGGACTGGGTTTCAGGAAACTAGAATTCTAAACCAAGGTAGCTACCAACTCTTCTAAGTTCTTGGGCAATTCACTAAATATCCTAAGTTTTTGTTTCTTTACCAGGACTCAGAGAGCTTGCCTCCAATGGCAAGGAGACACCTGATAAAGAGGTTAGGTTAAGGACTAAGATTTGGTGATTCTGGTCCATGAACATAATTGAGCAATAAAAACTCCATTTGATCACCCTTATCACCTAATCAACACCCAAACAGCACTCGATAATTGTAAAGATCAACAGTAGTCTTCTTCCTTATGCTCCCTTTCCTTGTGAATTTTAAACATTCCCATGTTTCACTGCTAATAATTGTTTTGTAAACTTAAATTCATGGTTCAGTGAGGAACTGAAAAAGAGAAAGTAGAGGCAAATTTTCTAAGATACAAATTGAACCAAAAATAGAGGGGCTATGAACATTAGAAGCATTATGATACTTAAGACTAAAAGAAGCTAGAATCTACAGGCTATTATATTAATGACTAGTTTTGGAACATTTAGGGATGCACAGAATGGGTTGCTAGACCAAAGAACTAAAACACAAAGGAAGGGCTTATTTTCAAGGTCAATGAAAAGAATAAACTGAGAACAGAAGTGTTGTAATCAGCTTCAGTTGAACTGAGCTTCCACATTTAATGGAACAAGAGGCAGAGAATCGACTCTCAACACCAATCTGCTTCAGATAATTTTTCATCCCTTTGTTCTGTTAAGCATTCAGTAAGAAACTCCACAAGCTTTCCTTTCATCCTAAATATAAGTGCCTTTACTTTTCCCTTGACTTGTAGAATTTTGGCATTCCTGTTCTTTTACTATTGGACATTAGAGAGCAAATTCAACGGCAGCTAGAACTTAAAGAGTTATTTAACCATTAACCTAGCCATTTAACCATTAACCTAGCCAGGCCTTTGATAACTTGCATTATCAAATTTAGTCCTTAGACAACCCGGAGATAATTAAAACTTGCATTATCAAATTTAGTCCTTAGACAACCCGGAGATAATTAAGTGCAGTGACTTAGCCAGTTAGTGGGAGAGATGAGACTTAACTCTAAAAGCCATTCCTTTTGACCACCTTCTTTTTCTAGTGTGCTGGATTCACAATATACTAAGAGCTCATAAGGAGAGATTACTAGATGAGGTCTTCAAGACAAACATCTAGAAGTTGGCATCTCTGCAATAATGCCTCTGCCATCTATAATGATAGGTGTGTTCTAGTGATGGTGGGTAGAGCTGGGAATCCTGACAAAAATGCTGAAAGATAAGGCTCTTTTCCCCTAACCTCGGCTAAACTTTAATCAAAATATTTTGAGATGCATTTAAATCATGGAAATGTGTACTATCTCTTTGTTGGTAAGAATAATGATTCATACACCCTCCCTATGTTCTGCGAGCCAGACTAATGACATGATTTCTCTTATCCTAAGATGCCTTAAAGAAAAAAAGAAAACTACACTATGCCTTTACATACAATGAAAACAGAGTTCAGATACTCTATTTTTGCTTGCTTGTTGGACTTTAATTTGCAGTGAAGGTTCTGATTACTCTGAGATTACACGAATGAGGGAGTTTTAAACCATAGTTTTGACACTTAAGTATTAGTATTTTATTTCTAGCACTCATGTTATTCCTTGAGTTAAAAAGGTCTAGCAAAATCTAGGGAGCTTGTTTTAAATACATTTACCTACTTGTGATGGAGAAACCAATAAAAAACAACACACCATTTTTTATTTACTTACATTATGTA